CGCCGCCGAGCTGGCGGCGCGCGGTGTCGGACTCCATCATGAACTCGTCCGCCCCATCAAGGGCGTCGCCACCAGCCCGCCGTCGGCCGGAGACCCCCGGCCAGCCTGATGAATACGTTGTTGTGGTGGTGGTGGTGGTGGTCCGATGAATGCGCCACCACGGCCATGGCGGCCAGCGCCGCCGCCACCACCAGGAAAAGCTGTCCCAATCGGAAACCCATGACGTATAGTACGGCCAAGAAAAAAAATTAGGGTTTGGGATTAAAAGATTTGATAGTTAAATGTAGAGAGAGAGAGAGAGATGTTTTTTTCTGGTTATTCCTTTTTGTATTATTTTCTTGTTTAGGCGGAGAAGGGAAGAAAAGAAAGTTAAAAATTGGTGGTGGAACGCAATTTACGATAAGTGAAGGGGTGGTTGTGCAAAATTTTAGGGCCCGTGTTTTATTCTCCTTGTTTTTTCTTTTTTCTTCTTTTAAATTTAATAATTCAATAACTTAAATTAGATAAAAAAAAAACTTGATGGATTAAAAAATGTATACGTGGGGCTACCTTAGAAAATTCTATGGAGTATATTTTTATAGGTTTTGGTATTTATAGGAAAGACGACGATTGTCTTTTTAATTACTAGTGAATTCGCGGCCTCTCGAAGTGCACTGAATAAACTTTATTTTTCGTATGAATTAATGATATAATTACGTGGAAAAAAACTTATGTTTAGGCAAAACACATATATCACATATGCAAGGCAACTTTACTTTCAAGGCAATTATTTGTTTATGACTTCATTATTTCAAGGATTTTAAGGAGTAGTTTAATAATTTTATACTATTATTCAATATAAATAGAAACGTAGAATTATATTTTCCAAAAATTGTGAATATAACCTTTCTCCTAGTATCAAAATCTATGGTATTCTTTTCAGTTTATAAGTAATATATCAATTTTTTTTTTTGTGTATCTTAACAAAATTCTTCCATCTATTTTAACAAAATTCATGGGTAAATTATATAATTTGCTCTTTCATTTATCTTAAACAATAATTTTTTTGTTCCGAAAAAGTCCTTACAGAGGATTTCAAACCCAAATATTTTCATATTTTTCCTGAAACTTAATTTGTGAAACGTAAAACAATTTACGTGGAATATTTTCGTACTTTGTTAATTACGTTAATCATGCTAAAAAAATTACATATATGCATATGTGGTGTTAATGATTCAATTAACAAATATTTTAGCATTTGACCAAGGCTATAACAACAAATTAATATTATTCGTTGCTGATCTTAAACTATCAAATGAGCTTAATAGTTCAACATTCATTCAATATTCATAAACCATTATTAGTTATTCAACATTTAACATTCAGTGTTAATCGTATCAAATACAACTGCCTAAGTCGACCACGAATATAAGAAGACAATTAGTGAGTAAGGTTGGAGGTTGGAACTAGTAATCTTCATTTAATAAGTCTTTGAAAGGGACACTATATACATGAATTATAAGAGAGCTTAAATGCTATAAGCCTCGTCACTCAATCATCAAAGATATTTTCTTTTTGGTAATCATTAATCTTTTTTTGAAAACGAGTGAATGCATATCTATCATTTATTTAAAATCAAAATCAACTTGATAAAGATCTTCTTGCCGACATTAAACGAGTACAAAATATTGAACCATTTGATGGGCTCACAGTCTATGATGCACGGAAACTTCGGTGCATACGCATTTTCACGTTTTGAAAACGTTTGCGAAATCGAAGCTTCATGACACTTGTCGAAAATGTTTTGGGGCCATTTTCATAAATATTTAAAAGTTTTGCGGACGTTTCTGGTAATATTGGAAAAATAGTAACGCGTTTCCACCAAAAAAAAAAAAAAAAAAAAACTAAATTCATTTTAAATAAAGACTCGATTTACCTTCGCTTGAAAAATCTAAAATCTTACGTATTTTTTTTCACTTCTAGTGGTGTTTTAATATTTTTTTAGATGCTAATTCCATTCTAACATAAAATTATATGTCTCATATAAAATTTGTGGAATGATAATACCAACCGAAACATGTAAATTATATTATATATGATTTGTAGATACAAATATGTAAATGGTGATAAGTGTATTAGTTAACAGCAATTTCTAAAATTTACAAATGTACCCTTGTATTTTTTATATTTACACATTTCCGTATCCATATCTTTAGAAAATGGGATTTCACCGTGTCCATGTTCCCGTGTCCGTGCATACACAGGCTCACAGTCGATATACATACATACATGATACGTGTGTGTGTGTATATATATATATATATATATATATATATATATATATATATATTTCAGGTGTGTGTCTATCTTGTAAAAATGAGAAAATGGAGGAGTGAACAATAAATTGGCAGGAATATTTGTTCTTGAAATTCAAAAGTAACTATTGAAAAATAGAAATATATTCACCCACTCATAAAATTCCAAATGAATCACAAATGAAATAATAAGACAACAGTATAACACCAACTAAAATAATTTCCTACCCAAAAATAATTCAAAAAATACTTTGAAAAACAAGCGACACCGCCGCCACCAGGACAATCGACGGCGCACACGACGGTGCTGCTAAATTACGCCGCGGAGGGCTACCAGTACCGGGAGCACTGTTCTCCGCCGGCGTCGAAGAAACACCCCCCGGAGACGGCGCCCCTGAGCCGTTGCTCGCCGCCGGTGCAGGAGATCCACCGGAAGGAGATGGAGACGGCGGGGAAAGCGACGGCGATCCCGTCGGCGGAGCCGCGGCGGGTGAAGGAGAATCGGCCGGCGGCGTGAGGCGGTTACGGACAGCTAAAACAACAACAGTCAACTTCTGACCCTGATCGCAGCTGGCCTTGTCGCCGGAGATGAAATAGAACGGGCCGGAACGATCAAACTTGAAGACTGAATTCCCGCCGGCGAGTTTCAGCAACGGATTTACGGCGTTGCAGTTGTCGTAATCGTCTTTATTCACCACCGCCACAAAATCCGACGCGTTACTGTACTTAAACACTACCCAAAAAAAAATCAAAAAAAAAAAAAAAAATCAGATCAAAACCAAATTTTCAGCCCCACCAACTGTTCGACAAAATGCCAAAGAGAAAAAAAAAACTCACAGATGGTGTCGTTGACTTGAAACCTCATCCTCTGAGCCCACTGGCTGTAATTCTCCGACGGTTTCACCACCCAACCATCTCTACCTCCGGCGACGAACTGATAAGCAAACGAAGAGGAGCATGCAAAAAAAGAAAACAACACAAGAGAGAGAAGAAATTGAAAGCTCCGACTGTGTTCAGCCATGGCGGAAATCTAGGGTTTCAGATGAAGATTTATGAGGAAGCTTCTAGAGAAACTATTACAGAATGGAAAAGTGAAGGTGAGGGAAGTGTGATATTTATAGGGGGGGTTTTACTTGCTGTAGAGAAGTTACCGTTGAAAATAATAAATTCGTATGTATAATTTTTTTTTTTTTTTGTAATAAAAAAAAAAAAAAAAAAAAAAGGTGGTGTACGCTTGGCAATTAGTTATGGACTTAACGGTTAGGAAAAAAAAAGTATTGAACTGGAGATGACCTGGCTTGTGCTGTTTTATTTTGGATTTCGATTTTTGAAGGTTCGGAATTTTGGATATTTATAGCGGTTATAAAATCGAACGGAATGGATTGAAAAATATATAATTTAAAAAAAAATGAAAAAGGGATTTTTTTTTCAATCAAAAAAGTTTGTATGTTTTTTTTTAGTGAAAATCGACAATGTTTCTAATTTTGAAAATTGAAAATTCATTCTGATTTCGAAAATTTTGAAATTTATGGAAATAATGTCGATTTCGAAATTGTTTATTAAGAGTGTCATTTATCTATTCCAACTTTTTTTAAAACAAAATTTGAGATAAAAAGTTTTATCTCCATCGTTACACTTCAATACTTTATACATAAAATTGTGTATTTTAATTCTACCGTTGAAAAGATCTACCAATCGAATATTTTCACAAATTACTATAAAATATATATACCAATTGAATAATTTTGTCAGAGAAAATTATGAGAGAATTTATTTTTTATGCGACGGATTTTTTTTTTAGTGTTCAAGTAATTTAATGAACTTTGTTTCTATGAGTACACTTTATACCTTCAAACTAAAAAGATAACGTGGCCTCGTTAACTTTTAAAATTTTAATTTTAGGTGTATTGTGAATGATTTATTCTATTCGGAGGGTGTGAAATACTATTAGATTTTCTTCAAAAGTACAAAGTGGCGAAATGCTATATTTGAAGGGTGGAAACTGGAAATTAAACCCCATCAATTTAGTAAATGACACTTAGCACCTTTAAATAATGTTCGTTTGTCACTTTGCAATCTAAAATCATAAAAATAACATAAAAACCATAAACACTACGAAAAAAAAAAAAAAAAAAAACTGGCATTATTTTCACAAATCAAACATGTCCTTGAACATTGTCCGACGAAGAATCTTGATCGGAAGACATATCTATTCTTGTCCATTTTGTGACTTCGAAAGCACAAAAAGCCCTATCATCTGGACCGCTAATCCGCATATCAAACCAATCCATAATCCCTGTTCCAAGAGATTTTGTCCATACTATCTCTATATATACGAGTTTATTGCATTTAGTACTCTTGTACTATAC